GGTGAATTAACAGCATGATATTTAATTGGTACAAACGCACCAATCAGAGAGCAGCAGCAGGACACATCAATCATATATATATATATATATATATATATATATATATATATATATATATATATATATACACACATATATATATACAATGAACTTTGATATATATGGAATGAACATTGATATGTATTGAATGAAAGTCGCTGTTGAAGGGTTGAGGATGGCCAAGAAAAACTGTACATCAATAAATGGGCATTAACAAACTCCAGGTGGAGCTTAAAGGAAGGGAATTCTGATAAAGTGACCAGTACAGTGATCCCGTGGACAGAGTGACCTGAGAGTGGCTAATATATAATGTGAAAACACAGATGGGTGGAGCTTCAATATATACATAATTTGACATGGTGCAGAAGAAGAGTGAGATGAGGCCATAATTTCTGTTTGAAAAATGCTCTTTTACTGAGAGCAAGGGAAAACAATGCCACTTGAAAAGCAACTGAAAACTGAAGTAGGTCACTCCAAGCCCTACTCTTTCTTCTGATGGTCACCAAACACAAACACACTCTAATTAACTCTGAGCTGGACACAAAATAACACAGTAAACACATACAAAGTTCAATCAATATATATATATATCAATGTTCATTTCATATATATCAATGTTCAATTAATATATATCAGTGCTCATTCCATATATATCAATATTCATTCCATATATATCAATGTTCAATTAATATATATCAATGTTCATTCCATATATATCAATGTTCAATCAGTATATATCAATGTTCATTCCATATATATCAATGTTCAATCAATATATATCACTGTTCGTTCAATATATGTCAACGTTCATTCCATATATATCAATGTTCAATTAATATATATCAATGTTCATTCCATATATATCAATGTTCATTCCATATATATCAATGTTCATTCCATATATATCAATGTTCAATCAATATATATCAATGTTCATTCCATATATATCAATGTTCATTCCATATATATCAATGTTCATTCCATATATATCAATGTTCAATCAATATATATCAAGGTTCATTCAATATATATAAATTTTCATTCAATATATATCAGTGTTCATTTAATATATATCAAAGTTCATTTAATATATATCAATGTTCATATGTTATATATATATATATATATGTATATATATATATAATCTTTTTAAAGTATAAGTAAAAGTAATAACGGTCAGTATGCATTTCATAAATGTAAGTAGTTACCTGTAAGGACCCCCCTCCACACACACGCAAACACATGGAATGAGTGTACTTATTCCATTGAGCTGCTGTGCTATAAATCAGCTTCAGTTACAGCAAGCTGGCAGCACAACTCAGTGTATGTCTCACACACACACACACACACACACACACACACACACACACACACACACACATCCTGTCCACGGTTATCATGATGTGTCCTCTCACACACACCAATTGACACACATGGTCAAACACACTACCATGTCAGCAATAAAGCTAATACACTTAGGCATGCACTCACACTGATACGTGGTGCCACTGGGAGTGCTGATGCATCAAAACACACACACACACATGCAAACAGACCATATGCTGTGAATATCAGCTATAAGAAGGATCCAGTCTGAATAAATTAAATGTTCGGTATTGACATGCAGTACAGTTGATCCATGCTCCTCTCACAAAGCTTTCAAAGAAGCTTTACAGAATATTTCCCATTCATCACACTGAGAAACTGCAGCACACAGCTCAGTTTTTGTAAATTTGGTGAGTGTTAATAATTTAAAACTAACTAGCTAAGCCTCTACTTTTCTCTCTCCAATCAAATAAATGGACATTACTGATATAGCTTGAGGCGACACATTTCTGCTTAGGCTGTTAATCAGGTGTTTATCCTTAAAAACTTCAAATACACACAAATATATACACACAATTTATCCTAACAGTGTAACTTTTTACAATTATATACAAAAAATGATTTAAAATCCTACATATTTCATTGAAATATATTCCATCAATGTTACTGATGGAAAAAATGCAGAGTTCAACTGACTACCAGTCTGCTCGTGCCTATTGGCAGCCGTAAAAACACACACTATATGATCTCACAACAAAAATTGCAAAACATTGTCCTAATAGGTCAAATGCTTTGCTTGCCTCCATTATTCTGGCAACTTTCCAACCTTTCAACTGTCTGACGACAAACCTGTAGCACTCCCTCTATCTATGAGTGCAGAGTTTAATGCTAGCTAGTTATAGCCTGTTTCCTCCTCACCAGGACACGATCAAGTGTCAGTCATGTTCCGACTGGTGCTTGAAAACAATGATTCTATTGTGTGTTTTTGGTTTTGTTGGATTGTGTTTGTTCATGACTTAAGTTAAAGGTCTGTATGTGTTTTTAATTCATTAAACTACCAGAAATTCACAAACATTTATTAGCTACTATACTCTAAAACACAGAGCTCACTCACAACTGTATCATCTTGTTCCAAAATGCTGATCCATATTATCACTGTCCAAAGAAAACCTCACGTTTCCAACACAATAACTTGATAGGTGAAGGACAAAACGCTCTTAACTTCTGTTAATGCACCTTAGAAATATTGAAAGGTTCCTATTTAAACTCCGCAATGTCACATTTGTCAAGAAATGTTTACTCAATGAAACTCAAATATACACAGCAGCAATGATGAAACAGCAATGATGCACAGTTAATACTGAATGTCTCTCTCTCTCTCTCTCAAATTCCTGTGCTTTCTAAAATAATCATGTTCAGGCTGCTCTGCTGATAGAGCTGACAGAGTGAGTTACTGTCAGAAACTCAAACCTCTCACACACTCTCACAGGTGGATCACATGAATATATAACACTGCTGAACATCCTACCACTTCATTCATTTAATGTTAGAATCACAAATTACACCAACTGACTAAAACTGTTTTATGCTTGGTGCATAAAGATAGGATATGAGAAAAGGTGATGGAAACGTTTTTGAATTAGTGATATACGAACGTTTCCTTGATTTAATTTACAAAGGCACTAAATGATGGAATATCAGTGAAGTCCCTTTTGCTTGATTAACTGTATGATATGTGCATGCTGTGAGCCAATTGTCAAGTGTCCTGTGATACAAGTATGATCAGTTTCTGTTGATGAGTCCTTTGTGGGTGTGGAGGTCAGGATTGGAATAGGGGTGGTTGTTTGGCTTTTCTTTAAATGGGAAATAATAAAAAAAGAATCACAAAAAAGAAATTACAAAAGTGATATTAATGCAATATTATGGGGAAAACGACAACAAAATGCCCAAATGTACCAAGAAAGTGCCGTTTCAGCTCTAATTAAATGGGCCATTGCTTGCTCAATGTCTCTGAGCTGAATGTAAAACTGCTACGAATTAGGCATGGGCATTTAACTCCTCCACTGTTTAAATATCCACATTTTATAGAGAAGCAGTATTCAAGTATCTCGATGTGAAAAGGCTTTCTTTTGTTATGAATGGAGACATGGAAGGTTAAACATTTGGTTATTGTGCGCAGCAAGCATAAAAGTACCTGTTTGTTCTGCTTTTTTTTCAGACAGGATTAAATTTAAGTGGGGTCCTGGAGTAATTTCCACTGTAACAAGTGCTAATCTGTGATTTTACTTCCTTCTAAATTGACCTTGTCAGTGTTTTTATTCTCCTCCCTTGAGAACATTAAAGACCCAATTACCTGCTGTTTTTTTTTTTACCAAACTCAGTTGTATCATCTGATAACTTTCGTCCTGTCCAGATACACATCCCAAAAATAAGGTTTCTGAGCACTGCTTTTCATCATGTTTAGCCTTCTAGCATGTGTATCCATATTAAAATCTTCGTAAATCGTGAATGGAATGGGATCATATGGCCACATCTGGATTTGGAGAAAATACTACCAGTAGACACTTAATTGCCAGTTTAATACTGAGGAAATCCGGAAAAAAAAGAATACAATCCGAAGAGGGCTTCTGTGTTTTTTTTGTGTTTTAACATACTAAGCTAACTTTCAGGGTGACAACTTGGAGTTACACTACTGTATCCCTGGTGATGCTACAGCCATCTGTGGCTGGGAGTCCAAGAGAGCACAATTGGCCTTGATCTCTCCGGGTGGTTAGGATGGCCCCAGTTTTCTTCCCCCATCACCCAGTGCAATGCTAGTCAGCTGATGTTACAGAACTGGTGGTTGGTGCTTTCCTCCGAACGCATTCAGCTGTCCAATGACATTGTGAGAGGCAATTCGAAAAGATGCGGTAGCTCACTTCACAGGTCTCAGAGGAAGCCTGTGCTAGCCTTGGCCAGTGGTATCATGTGATTGGGGAGTCCTAACTAGTGGGTGGAATTGGAAACAACGAAATTGGGGAGAAAATTGGGGAAAAAAATCCCTGCCTTTTCCAAGTAATTTTGGACCATTTCTTTTGGTCCATCCATCCTGAAATTTTTATACAATCTAAAGGGCAACATGCATTTTCAAATTATATCAAAAACAACAAAATCGATGTACAACATGTAATGTATATATTGGTAGAATAATGGAAGAATTTGGAAAAAATTGGGGACTATTTTGCCTTAGAATGTCTTGCATGTATGTCTCCACCATAAATAGATAAAAACATACTTTTTAGGCCAAATTTTAGTGCAGAACGCAGGCATCAGGCAGTGTATTCATAACCACTGGATGCAATGGCTTTCTGTCAGGTGGCTTTTACAGGCATTAAATGCTTTGGACGTCTGATTCCTATCACCTGGTTCCTATCAGTTTCCCTGGAACATTTCACATCAAACCACTGTACAATAGGTACAGTTGCTCTGTACTTTTCTCCACCCACCACACACAGCAAAGTAGTGTAAGCTTAAAACACTTATTCACAGGTTAGAACTGTGCCTAAAAGCCATTTAACTAGTGACTATATTTTAAGAAACAAGCCTCCAAAATACTCCAAAGATTCCAGATAACAACAAGCATACAAGTCTCTCACCTGGAGTTGCTCATGTCGGTCTGCCCCCCCTGGCTCTTCTCCAGCCCCAGTTTGGTGAAGATGCCCACCAGCACCATGATGGCCACCACTCCACAGATGATGTAGACTATCATATGTGTGCGGTCCCTGTCCTGCTGCTGCTGGACCTCAGTGACTGGCGAGGCCGGCTTGCCCGTGTTGGCCCAGACAGGTGTGTCGTAGTTGGAGCAGGAGGTCTGGTCCAGGCTGTGGGCTTTGAACTGGCAGCAGAAGCGGTAGAAGCAGGAGCCACAGCAGAACAGGTAGATTCCAGCATTACAGTTAAAGGGGGGGTCCCATTGACCCATCACATCGTAGTAACCCCAGCAGCGGCTCCCTGATGACGGAATGTCCGACTCTGACCCTGGTGTGGTCAGGGTCAGCTCCGGCGAGCCCGAAGGGACAGCCGTCTGATTGGCCGGCTGGGTGTCCGTGGTAACAGAGTTTTGGGCGTAAGAGGGTGTGTGGAGCAGCAGGACGAGAGATAAAAGAGCACAGAAAGAAGAGTAGAAGGCCATCTTCAACTATTCCAGATGAAGGATAAAGGATGCACAGAGGAGGAATATCAATGCTCCAGTTCCAGCCAGAAAAGCAGCACTACAGCCAGAGAGAGAGAAAGAGAGAGAGAGAGAGAGAGAGAGAGAGAGAGAGAGAGAGAATGGAGGGCAATCAATTCAACGTCCCACCATGCTACAGATCCATCCACATCAGCTCAGAGCAACAACAGTGACGACATCTCCATACACGCTACAACTCAGAGAGAGAGGGGGAGAGAGAGAGAGAGAGAGAGAGAGAGAGAGAGAGAGAGAGAGAGAGAGAGAGAGTTAGTGAGAGAGAGAGAGAGAGAGAGAAATTGGAATGTAAGTAAGAGTGATAAGATACAGAAAGAATGATAGAAGATGCAAGGGAGAGAAGGGAAAGAAAGGGGGAGAATAGATGCAGTGAGGGAGAGTAATAGATAGATAGATAGATAGATAGATAGATAGATAGATATGAGATAAGATGAGATGAAATGGAATGAGGAAGGTAGAGGGGAAATGGGAGAAAGAAAGAAAGAAAGAAAGAAAGAAAGAAGGAAAGAAAGAAAGAACAATGCAGTGAAAGAAAAAGGGAGAGATGAGAGAGTTAGTGAGAGAGAGAGATAGTAAAAGGGAGAAGATTGGAAAGAAAGAAAGAAAGAAAGAAAAAGAAAGAAAGAAAGAACAATGCAGTGAAAGAAAAAGGGAGAGATGAGAGAGTTAGCGAGAGGGAGAGAGTAAAAGGGAGAAGATTGGAAAGAGAAGAAAGAAAGAAAGAAAGAAGGGAAGAAGAATGACAGAAAGAGATGAAGGAGCAAGGAAGATAGAGAGAAAGAGAGAAGATGGAAGGAGCAAGGCAGAAACAAATAAATGAATGAAAGCGAGAGAATAGATGCAGTGAGAGAGAGCGATAGATAGATACGGGTGAGATGCAGTCAGGAAGGGAGAGAAGATGAGAAAAAGAAAGAAAGAAAGAAAGAAACAAAGAAAAAGAAAGAAAGGAAGATGCAGTGTGAGAGAAAAAGGGAGAGATGAGATGGAGTGAGAGAGAGTAAAAGGGAGAAAGAACAACAGAGAAGTAAAGAGTAAGGTAGATAAACAGGAAAAAGAAGCTGGAAAGAGTGAATGAGAAACAGCAAAAGAGGGAGTGTGCGAGAGTGAAAAAGAATGAGAGAAGATTGAGAGAAGTCAGAAAGAACATTAGAAAGACAGAAGATGGAGTGACAGAGAATGAGAAAAGAAAAAGTAAGAAAGAGAACGAGAAAAAGAGTCAGAGAGAGAGAGAGAGAGAGCGCCACCCACAGTTGGAGCTCCTCACACACTCGCAGTGGTCCAATCAGCTGCTCTTCTGCTTCATCCACGACTCTCTGTATTCAGGGCGACAGCAGAACCAGATCCCGGCCTGAACAGTCGTCTCTGTGGCGCTAACATAACAAAGGTGCTTCCAGGGCAACACTGGAACCCATCCGTATCCGTGGAGATCTCTGTCCCACCAAAGTCTCAGTAGCAGTCAGGAGGAGATGCAGAGCATCCAAGTGCACACAGCTTACACGCCTCATTTTAGGCCAGATATAGTTTTTTTAATCCTTATTTATTGGCACCCCTGTCCCACGTCGCGTGGCAACCCTGTCCCGCGTCACCTGCTCCAGCTGTGGTCACCCCTGTGGTCAAAGATCAGACAGATATTTTGCTATTTTCGTATAGCCTGTTGACAGCATGACTGTGAGTGTGAGTTTGACACACTTGTGTTTGATCCAGTTCTCTGCAGAAACGGAGTGTGTGTTTGATGTGTTTATCTACAGCAGCAGAGCCGGACCCCTTACAGTCAGCCCTCGCCTTTATCCCTCCCTACTCTGTGTGTGTGTGTGTGTGTGTGTGTGAGAGAGAGTGAGTGCGGTACTGATCTCATGCTGCAGCCAGCAGAGATCACACACTCCCTGCGTATGTGTGTACAAATCTAAAAAACCCATCCGATCACATAAGCTTCCTGGGGGGCAGCACAACAGGAGCTTTATATGTCAAATATTGCATCGTTTCAGGTACACAAAAATGATCTCATTAGGCTAATGCAGGGATCAGCAACCCAAATGTTAAGAGCCATTTTGTCCTTTCAACAAAAATCTAACCACCTTGAGAGCCACAACATTTTATGTCCATTTTATCATCTTGGCTGTAAATATGTCTCAGTATGTGCTGATGTACTATTACAGGCTAAAAATATAATATAAATGAAAACGCAGACTTACTTTGCTCTGCTTTACGCTTTAGCTCAGATATAGCCGCTTTTCTCGCATCTCTGGCAGGAAACTTTTCCTCAAGAGTAGAACAGTTTCTTTTAAAATGTCTCTCAACATTACATTTTTATGAGGCTTCTTTGCCAGCTTCTTGTTTGAAATTTCCCATTCCACCTTAAATTGTGCCTGAGGCACCAGAATGTAACTGCTGCGGCATTTAAGGTGGAAAGGGAAGATTTAGAAATTTGGCAAATGAGAAGCTGACTTTAGCTTCACGACTTTTTAGTATTTGAGGGTTTCTCGTTGCAGATTAAATGTATCAGGAAACCAGCTGAAGTGATTATAAATGCAAATAAGTCTGTTCATCTCCAAATTATCGATGTTCATCTAAAATCTTTCTCTTTGCCTTATCGTTAGCTACTAGCTAGGTGAGATTGTTGTCATTGCTATGGTGCCAAGCAGACAACCTCCAGGGTTAAAGGGTAAATTAGCAGTTATACATTAACTCCAGGGTGTAAGACTATTAATACTGTGTTAGATCGATGAGCAGAGCTTTATTTTACTGCAAAAGTGGATTATTTTATATTTACCTAAACAATCTAATTCTGCTGTAGAACCAGGAGATAGGAGATGCGATTTGTCATTTCTGATTCTGACGCTGGGTTTAAAACCGGTTATTTCTAATATGTTCTATGTGCAGAAAGAGCTCTAGAATCAAATAGGTGAAGGCTAACATCATGCTATATGGACCTTCTACCAAACTACAAGAACAATAATGTATTCAAACCTTAGATATTTACAAGGATTTTGTTAGGACCTATTTAAACCCAATACATTATTTAAGATAGCAATAAGCTAAATATAGACAAGATCATCATTTATAGGGTACTTTCTACTGGAAAACCTAACCCCTAAATTTCATCTTTAGAAAATAATAATTTTTGCATGTGAATATATTTTAAAGATATTTATTTATTTATTTCAAAGTGAAGTTAAAAGATATAGATTCATCCTAAGTTTAATTTTTACATAAAATGCTGTTTCACATTTTGCTATCACTACCGAAACAGAGTTTTAGTCTGTAGGCGGAGTCTTATTTCAACCAAACCCCTGCATTTTAGAGCAGGAAGTGAGACTGCATCCCTGTCCCTCATAGCCACATGGTGAGCAGTTAGATCCCATTGTTTTGAAGTAAATGTGACCCCCAAGTCTGAAAAGCTGTGTGTTACATTAAAAATTGTCACTACCGAAACATATTTTCTACATTTAAGTAACTTTTTGTGTTTTAATGAAAAATATTACAATTTGTATATACAACTGTTTAAAGCTGTGTTTGCTAGTCATGTACTGTCCAGCATTTTTGAGCTACGATTAGCTAAAACTGTCACTACCAAAACAATTGGTATTGTTTCAGTAGTGACATGTTTTGATAGTGACAAAATGGAATGTTTAGTGATTTAGTTTGATAAACATAATAAGTATAGCATCACTCCAATCAAAGGATTTTAGTCTGAAGTCCAAGTTCGTCCAAACTGGCTTTGAAGCAGATTGGTAGAATGATCCATATCATTGGGTTGTGTTCTTCATAATGTGGTGTAAGACTCGAACAGGAGGTTCTCGGAATGTATTCAGCTTTGAACCAAAATTTTAGGCCTGTTAAAAGCTCTAAAAAGCCCTGCTTTGATTGGATTACTTCATCAGGGGGACATCTTGATTTTAAAAATGTACATGTCTCCTTAATGATAAAAGTCTCGCATCTAGAATACAATAAAATTTCTACAGGATGAGTGAGTTGGTGGGTTGTATTTTCTGTGAACCTGGATGTTTGCATCATTAAGGTCATATAATCATAGAAAAGTAATAGTTGGTGATATTGTCAAGGTAAAGTGATGTTTTAATGTTTTTGCTCCCGTTTAATCAACACTATAATCAGCCTGTAATGTTGCCCCAGTGTAGAGAGGATGGAGATGAAGATCCACCAGCCAGATCAAGTAAATGTTCTCCTCCAAACATCTTCTGAAGCATTTAAATACAGCAGCCAAAAACCTTTTTTCCAACGCAAGGGGGCATCTGTCTGGAAAATCGGAGATGTATATCTGAGACTACGGGAATTCAAATCACCAATGAGTTTGATGAAAAAGAGTAGGAAGGCAGGAGAAAAACGCCGATATGCCTGGACACGATGGATGTAAAATCACAGAGAAAGACCTGTAAAAGTGGAAACTACCCCAGTACCCCATGTAAAATGAATCCCACACAAATAGGGCTTAAGCTTTTAAGAGATTAGCTGTTTTTAATGGAAACACTTCACTTACAATGTTTTAAAAGTTGGCTTTCATACTGAAACCACTCAATCGCTTTACTACCCACAGAAAGAACTACACAGCTAACAACATTGTATCACACAGTGTGAGAGAGTGCTATTTCAGGACAGATTTGTTACAGGATTGGATCAGATTCCTTCGTTTTTGATATCTCATTCAGCCTTTTCTGATGATATCGGCCCAATACAAATATACCTGATATTGGATCTCGGCCATCTCTGCTTTTTGACACTTACAAAACTCATCTGATGTTAAAGAAAACAGAAAACATAAATTTGAAGATATAAATTTTAAAGATTTAAATGTTACTGAAATGATTAGCTTTAAATGTTTAGCCTAAAATAAGTGCTTGGGTCCCTATCTGTTGCTTCTGTTTTCTTCATTGTCTCACTTTCTGCCTTTCACTCTCTCTTGCATTCCCAACAACAACAACAACAACTTC